CCTATAGTCAGGCCTTACACAACTTATCATTAACTGCAAGTCAGCCAACCTCTCCTTTCCCCACCTAATCCTATGCCTCTCTCTCTTACTCATTGCTATTTTCTCAGTCCTGGAAGCGCTCGCTTCTTTCCTAACTTGGCACCCCTTCCAGTGCTTTCCTTTTCTTTTTGCCTGCAATGTCTTTCTCCCAGTTGGTCACATCAATGGATTTTGTCATCCTTAAAATCTCAATTAAAATGCTTCTTTCCAAAAATAGCTTTTCTTGTCCACCCTATCAAAAATACAATATGTATCTGCCATTTCATTTTCTTCCACAGTATCCAGGTTATTATTAATAACTATACATTTCTTCCTAGCAATGATTTATTTGGGGACTGTTTGACATGGTGTTTTTTTTTTTCCCTCTAATAGACTATTCTCCAATCAGTGACTATTATCTCCCTCATTTTCTATTGTATTCCCACATGCCAGCACAGTTCTTATCATAGAATAGATACATCCTGTTTGTTTAATGAATGGAAAATGTTACCTTTTTCCCAATCCAGAAATTTGGGATAATCCCTAATGATGACCGACAAAGTAAGTTCTCTTGTTCCCAGCTGGCCTCAGTGTACCTCACACAGTCATGTTTTTAAGAGTCTGACTAATGAAATGAGCCTAGTGGGCCTCAGGCTAATGAGAAATACAGGGCTGAAGAGACCACACAAACACTCTAAATTGCTTTTCCTTCATCCTCTGGAGCAGCTGAACTGGGGACTTGCAGAAGGGCAGATGGTGTTGTTCTGCCACACTTTGAAGATGCCTGTCCCAGCTCTCCACCGAGAACATCTGCTCCTTTCCACTTTTTACCACGGCAGTCCTTCCCTAGTCAGAGATGAGCACCAAGGCTCTGGCCTCCGTTGGAGCAGGGAGGCACTTTCTGCTAATTCGGAGATGTCACAGGATGCTGGCAGACAATTGATTAGTTAGAACCCAAAGGTACACAGATCCTGGAGCAAAGTACCCATGGCAAGCTGTTGCTGGAACAGCAATCTGCCTTCATTTCCACATCTGAAATTAGAAAACAAAAAAACAAAAACAGCACCCAAGAAGAACATCCTGGATCTGCATCCCAGTGCTGTCATTATAGCTTATATCACAGCAAAATCCTTGAGTTAGGGTTTGCTTCGAATCCAGATTTCCATATTTATTGGCCCCGTTACCTGAGATTCTCTACCATCTGATGGCTCAAAGGAACTTTCCGTATGAAATAAGAAGAAACAGGTCTACTTCCTAGGCTGCTCTGAAGATTCATCTTTCCCTTCTGATGCACCTCATCAGCCCCCTCAAGGCATGCTTATTTTTCTTTATACACAGCTTTACAAAAATGTCCTTAGATAACTTGAATCAGAATCACTCCCTGGCCAGACAATTCAATCTTTAGTGCATACTAAAGATTGTGCTAAACTATTTGATTAATTCAAAACCAGAATACATAGAGTGGTCACAGGCATCATGTTTTCCCCAAATTTGAGAGTTGTGTTCCTTAAAACCACATGTGTAATAGTTTATAATCAATAACTTTTAAGTTATTATAAAACACAGTTTAGCAAAATACGTGCTGTAATACACCCTCCCAAACAAAAAGCTTTTAAAGGTGTTTGATACAAACAAAAATTATTTTCTATGAATAGAACACATTAAAAATTAACAACAATATTGAAACATTAAGATTGTGTACATCTCCTGGTAGCATCTTCTTTTATTTTTTGAAAGGCAGAGCCACAGAGTAAGAGAGAGAGAGAGAGAGAGAAAGAGACAGAGAAAGAAGTGTTCCATCCGCTGGTTCACTCTCCAAATGGCCTCAATGGCCAGAGCTGGGATAATCCAAAGCCAGGAGCCGGGGTCATCCTCTGGGTCTCCCACTTGGGTGCAGGGGCCCAAAGACTTGGGCCATCTTCTACTGCTCTCCCAGGCCAAGGCAGAGAGCTAGATCAGAAAGAGAGCAGCCAGGACTAGAACTGGTGCCCATCTTGGATGCCGGCACTGCAGGAGGCAGCTTTACCTGCTATGCCACAGCACCAGCCCCTTATGGTAGTATCTTTAACATTTGTTATCACTAGCTATTTCATATGTATTTAGAGATATCCCTTTCCTACAGTTTTTTTTAAAAACATGGGTAAGTACATCTGGCCTTGTAGCAAATCCTCAGAAAATGATGTGATACCTCTTGGCAATGTTTATTATGATTATTCTTTTATAATATGATTAGATTTTGGAGAATTTAAAACTTAAAAAAGGATGTATCATATAATTACATATATTCTCTATAACATTTACAGAGTTTCAAAAATCATAGAAGACAGAGTTTACATTTTCACTCTCGTGAATGTCCATGGAAGCTGCATCATCCAGCCAAATCCAGGATCTATATGTACAGGATTAGTTGACAAGCAATATGTCTATAGCCCGTAGATTTACAGAAGGTCAGCAGGATTGGAAAACTGTAATGTGTGGATTAAAGCTAGGTCTAAAACAGAGGAACAAAACTGGAAGAAAAGAAAGGGGAACAAGACAAGACAAAACACCAGCAACTATTAGTTATTGATATGTCATTGCACCTTAATTATGTTATTTAAAGCCTATAGGGGAAATCCTGTTAGTCATTCTTGTTCTGGAATTAAGGGGAACCTTGGTTTTCAGTTACTTCACATATTAGACAAGTTAAGAAGGCAGGCAATGATAAAATTCTGATTTTGCTTTATTTTTGTTTTCACTTCCAGGCAAACTCATCTATAATAAGCCTCAAAATCTCTCAACTTTAATGGGGGTTGGGGAGAGGATCATTTCACAGATTAAGGTAAATATTCTTATAAAATACAACATTTAAACACAGGGTGAATGTTTCAGATTCAATCGCTAAACATTACTGTATTGAATTACACAGGGATGACAATGGCTGGCCACACACAGAACACTCCATTCAGATAGCTATACCACAACAAAAGGAGGAGTCAGAATTCCTTAGGAAACACTGCTGCTTTAAAGGACCACAAAACCCTCTGAGTAGTTTTGAAATACTGAGTTTGAGAAGTTGAATGTAAAGGGAAACATAAATAGTATTGATTCATAGACATGATATCTACAATATTTCATCAATTCCAGCTGCATATGAATTGAAAATTTTTTTACAATTTGAGAGGCAGAAAGAAAGAAAGTTTTCTATTTAAATCCCAGAGTTCCACATACATTGATTCTTTCCATGTTTTCCTGCTTCAATCAGTTGATTCTCTCCCACAATGTCCTCAACAGATGAGGCTGGGCCAGGCTATAGCCAGGAGCCAGGAACTCAATAGGGGCCTCTCACATGGTTGGCAGGAACCTAAGTACTTGAGCTATTACTGCTGCATCCCAGGATCCGAACTGATTAGAAGCTGGAATCAGGAGTCATTGCCTGCAGTAGAATCTGGGTACTCTGATGTGGGGTGTGGGTGTTCCAAATGGTATCTTAACTGCTAGGCCAAACGCCCACTCCTGTTTCACATTTTAATCTCTCTGAAATCAGGATGAGTCATAAAACAGATGACTTCCGTAATTCTCAACAGGGCAAAAACTATCAGATTCCCAGATTTAACTTCTTTTCCCTATTATGTCTACAATTGTCATAACCTATGACTATGCTTTCTTGATTATCATCCTTTCTGGCACAACCGCATAATAGAAACCCTTATAATTTTTTATCAATAATCCAAAAATAACAAACTGAAGCTAAGAATATATATCAGAGGTGTCACACAACATTTTCCTGACACCTTCTGTTAAGATTGAGAAAGAAAACATTAGAGGGTTAGGAAAATTCTAAAGCAGTCCCTCAATTCTAAAAAACCGCTAAGCAGGAAAACACTGGTAGAATCAATTCTGTGGAACTCTTCAGTCTATAGAGGAGGCTTATAGCAACCAGGAGAGTGCTTAATGAAGAAAGAGACGGTGACATTTTGGCAGGAAACTGATACAGTGATTTGGCTTGCTCATGTATCATCCCCTGTTCCTTAATTTGACGATGGCCAAGGGAATGGTGCTTTATGTCCTGGATGCAGCTTGCTGGTGCCATTTTGATCTGTCTGGCATTTACTGTTGGGTCCAAGACAGAAACTTCTCTTTGTCTTGCCCTCCTGAGGTTGGAGCCACTTCCTGGGCTGGTGTCTATTAAAGCATTTTTTAAAAATATTTATTTATTTCTTACATTTCATAAATACAACTTTAGGAATATCCCACCCTTCTTCCTCCTCCCTCTCCTATTCCCATTCTTATTTTTTGGTAAACTCTATTTTCAATTAACTTTATACACATAAAATTAACCCTACAGTAAATACAGAGTTCAACACATAGTATGAAAAAAAAAAAAAAAAACTGTTCCTCAACAGTCGAGACAAGGGCTGTTCAAAGTCATTGCATCTCAAAGTGTCAATTTCACTTCCATAGATTACCTTTTAGGTGCTCTATTAGTTATCACAAATCAGGAAGATCATATCGTATTTGTCTTTTTGGACTCGCTTATTTCATTAAATATAATGTTTTCCAGTTGCATCCATTTTGTTGCAAACAACAGGATTTCATTTTTTTACCACTGTGTAGTATTCCAAGGTATACATATCCTATAACTTCTTTATCCAGTTTTCAGTTGATGAGCATCAGGGTTGATTCTTATCTTAGCTATTGTGTGATAAGCACTTAAAAACATATTGCCCCACGACAATCAGAAAACACAAATCAATACTGAACATCAGAAGATGTATATTTACAGCAGCAGAATCCATATCAGTCTACAAAGCATGTGTCAGTACAAACTTCATGATAGATAATACATACTGAAAAATATTTTTTCAAATTACAAGTCCATTATCAACTCTCTTTAGAAATGGAAATCCAGAATTTATGTTGTATAAATGCATATACATATTTTTCAAGCAATTCTCACTGAAATATCTTATTACAAGATAAACAAACAAAAGACATATTACCTGTAACATGGGGCAAAGGATTGCAGATGGCAGGCAGGAGTACGGCAGGAGTAGAGCAAGAAATGGATTAAAAATCCTGGGAAGAAGGCTAAGGAGGAAAAAACTAGGGAAATAAGGTCTAAAGGAGCCACCTGGTATAGCACAGATTACAGAATTCAAACTCAAAGCTGGATGTGGGCTCAGAAAAGAGCTGAGAGGAACCTAGGCTTGATCTCTGGCTGATACCTGAGCTCTGTGCAAACAGGAGGTAAGGGTGAAGCCAGTGTGAAAGAGGCCTGGCAGTGTTTCACAAGTGTTCCCTGCTATTTAAGGAAGTCTCTGTCAGGCTACTGGCTGAACACTGCGAAATCAGAACAGAAGTTTTGATGTCTACACATGAAAAGGAACACAATATTTGCTAAAATAGTTTGGAAAAGTTTCTAAACAAATGAAGGCCTACAGCAATTAACAAGCAACAACAGAAAATTCAGCTACAGGGACAGAGAGAATTCCGTTTCTGGATTTTCTAAATAGTAACACAAAATTGCCCATTTTAACACAAAAATTTAAGATATACAAAAAGAAAAACAAAACAAAATGAGAAAGTGTGAAAAACAAATTGGCAGAAGCCATCCAAGAGGGATTTCAGGCATTGGACTTACTAGACAAAGACAACATCAAATGTCTTAAATATGCTCAAGACCCAGTGGAAACGTTGAAAAAATAATTTAAGGAAACTGGGAGAAGAATATCTGAAGAAACAGAGACTCTCAATAGATATTATTTTTTTAAATAACAAAATAAAAATCCTGGAAATAGAAAGTTATGAAGTAAAATCGCCCCTGGCTTTGTCCTGGCACAACCTGGGCCATTGTGCCATTTGGGGAGTGAAACAGCAAGTAGAAGATCTCTCTCTCTTTCCCTCTCTCCCTCTCTGTGTGTGCGTATGTGTGTGTGTCCCTCTCTGCTTTTCAAATAAATAAATAATTTAATAATTAAAAAATTTAGTAGAGGATTTCAACAGCAGGTTTGGGAAAACAAAAAATGAGCAAATAAATATATGGGAAGTAAAATCCAATCTAAATAAATAGTAACGAGAAAAAATGAAGACAAGTAAACAGAGCCTAAGTGATCTCTGAGACACTACCAAGTGTGACAATATACTCATTATAGAAATCTCAAAGGGCCAGCACTGTCGCATAGTGGGCTAGGCCTCCACCTGTGGTGCCGGCATCCTATATGGGTACCAGTTCGAGTCTTTGCTGCTCCACTTCCAATCCAGCTCCCAGCCCAAGTATTTGGGCTCCTGGCTCCTGGCTTCGGATCAGCCCAACTCCGGCCATTGCGGCCATTTGGAAAATCTTTTTCTCTGTAACTTCACCTCTCAAATAAATAAATAAAATCTTAAAAAAAAAAAAAAACAAATAACTCTCAAATGGAGAAAGAGAAAGAAGTGGCTAGGAAAAGTATTTGAAGATTTAGTGCCTAAAAACTTCCTAAATTTGATGAAACACATGAACCTACACATACGAGAAGGTCAAAGAACTTGAAGTAGAATAAACACAAAGAGATGATACAAAGATAATTTATAGACAGAATTCTAAATAAACTTATTGAGAATTTGACACTAGAAACTTTATAAGACAAAGACACTGGAAATATATAATTAAAGGCTAACAGAAAAAAAAATACAGGTAGTTAGCCAAAATTCTCTAGCTAGCAGAATTAATTTTTAATAATGAACAGAAATAAAGGCTTTTACAGATAATGAAATCTAAGACAGGCCTTTGTTGGTGGACTTGGCCTATAAGGAATGTTAAATTTCTTCTGACTGAAGTGAGAAGACAGTAGTGGTGAGCATCATGGCACAGTAGGTTAAGCTGCCACTTGGGACACCTGCACCCCATATTGAGTGCCTGTTTCTCTAGTCCTGTCACCTCCACCTCTAATCCTGCTTTGTGCTAACGCATTCTGGAAGGCAACAGATGAAGGCTAAAATGCCTGCCATGCACAAGGGATTTCTAGGCTCCTGGTTTCAGCCTGGTCCAGCCCCAGCTGTTGGAGGCATTTGAGGAGTAAACAAGAGGATAGAAGATTCTATTTCTCTCTCTCTGTGTCTCTGTCTCTGTTTCCATTATTGCTATGCCTTTCAAATAAATAAAAATAAATATTTAAAAAGACACTAGATGGTAATTAAACCCTAAACAAAATAGAGAATCCATTATTGTTGCGTCTTTTGTTCATTATTTTTATCTTCCATAGCATTTAAAAAGCACATCTAGGGGCCAGTGTTGCACAGCAGCATCTTAAGCTGTTTCTCGAGATGACTGCAACCCATATCAGTGTCTGGGTTCAAGACCCAGAGACTCCATGTTTCTGATCAGCTTCCTGCTAATGTGCCTGGGAGGTAATGGATGACAGCCCAATTATTTAAATTCCTGCCACTCACGTGAGAGACCCAGATGGAGTTCCTGGCTCCTGGCTTTAGCCTGGCCAAGCACAGGCTGTTGTGGGCATTTGGGGAGTGAACCAGGAGATAGAAAATCTCTCTCTGCCCCTCTCTTCCTCTGCCTTTCAAATAAATGCATAAATCTTTAAAAAATAAAAAAATCTATGTCAACGGACATAACAGTTTAGGCAAACATAATCTTTAATAATAACATTATAAAGAAGTTGTGCAGCTTTATAGTCATGGAGATTTTGCATGTTGCTGAAGCTAAATTGGTACCAAGTGTGGGGAGCAACTGGGAGCAACTCGGACTAGACTAAGTTATTGGAATTAAGACTTATTCTATGCATCTGCTCTCCCACAATATGGCACTGAGAAGGGAGAGACGGCTTCTGCACAGCTGCCTCCAGTTCAACCAATAGGCAGCAGGACCTGCTCCTGATTGGAGGAGAGCAGCGTACTCGGCGTGTGGGCAGCCGAGTTAGGATTGGCGGAGGAGGACTATAAAGGAGGAGAGAGACGGCATGCACCAGGAACATCTAAGGGGAACATCTATCTGAAGGAACACCTGTGCAGCCCCCGAGAGAGCCGGCCGGCGGTGTGCCGCTCCCCTGCGGAAGTGGGGAATGTGGCCAGGGGGAACCGCCCTTCCACGGAGGTGGAAGGGACGGCAGCCAACACGGGAAGAACCAGCAGCAAACCCGGGGAGGGCCGAGCAGACGAAAGAACAGCGCAGGGTCCTGTGTCGTTCCTCCACGAAGACGGGGAGCGACATAATGGTGCCGTGACTCGGATATGAAGCCTAGGCAGGGTTTAGTGTCGTTCCTCCATGAAGAGGGGGAGCGACACCAAGTCAAATCAGATTATTATAAATTTAATATTTAACTTTCAATACCTAGGGTAACCACAAAAACACTAACAATTATACAAGAAAGTATATGAAAAGTAATCAAAATGGCAGACTAGTAAAAAGATCAATGAAACAAAAAAGAAAATAGTATTGGAGGAACTGAGAAACCAAAGTGAAATAAGACATGTGGAAAACAAATAACAAAATAGCAAAATCAATCCTTTCCTCATTAGTAACTACTATAAATGTAAATAAAGTAGTTTACCATTATAAGACAGAAACTAGGCAAGACATCATCAAAAAGGAACTGATGTAGCTATACTAGTAACAGACAAATGTCTACTAAAGCAGTTGCAAGAGATGCAGAGGATGCTTGCATATTGATAAGAGTCCATTAGTTAGATAAAAAAAATTATAAACTTATTTGAGCCATTAGTAGAGCCCCAAGAAAATATTACTGAATTAATAGAACAGCCAGTAATAGTTGGAGATATCAGCATCCTAGCTCTCATATTGAATACAATAGCTAGACAAATAAGAGAATAAAATACTTGAATAACACTGTAAATCAACTAAACCCAAAACATTCATATATAAAACACTCTATGCCCAAAATAACAGAATACCTACAATTCTCTTGTGGACAAGTAAACTTGTAATATTCTCCAGGATAGACCATAAGTCAAGCCACCAAACAAATCTGAATGAATTTTAAAAGATTGAAATAATACAAAGGATCCTTCCTGACCAAAACAGAATGAATCTAGAAATGAATAATACAAATAAAACTGGAAAAATCACAAATGTGAAAATTAAACAACACATTCTTAAAGAAGCAATAGATCAAATAAGAAATGATAATATAATTGTAAAATTTTTTGAGGTGACAAAACACAGCATGCCAAAATTTATAGAATGTACTATGCCTGGTGCATGGAGGGAAACTTAGAGTTGTAAACATTTACATTAAAAAAGAAAAATATCCCTGTTTAGTAACCTAAATTTTACCCTAAGGAAGTAGAAAACAAAGAGCAGACTGAAAATAAAGCTACATAAGACAGGAAATAATAATGATTAGAACAAAGAAAAATGAAATGAAGAAGAGTGAAACAGTAAAAGGAATCAATTAAATCAAAGTTTCTTCTGAGAAAAGATCAATAAAATGACAAAGCTTTGTGGGGGGGGGAGGGGGTTCCAAGAAGGCAGCATAGCAACAGGGCAGTTTGATTTAGGCTGTACAAAATTAATATTTAAAAAGTGGAGAAAGTACACTCTCGGTGTAAAGCTGCAGGGGAACTACACTGGGAGATCCTGCCAAAGCAGTAGAAACAGCCCGGGCCTGTGCGCAAAGAGCAGCCACGCAGCAAAAGACCCAGCAGCTGGGATCCAGAAGGAAGGCGTCCACCCTGGCAAACCAGGTGAGATCAGACTCCACGGGCCCACGCTGCTATTGATACCGTAGGAGGGAGAGCTTGGTGAACTGCACCTTTTTGAGCCCAACCTAGATGCTTCAGGACAGCAAGATGACTGCTCACCCAGAGGTGGAAAAAAAAAAAGGTGGAGCATGTCTCTCCCTCACCCTCTCCCTGCTACAACAGAGACTTGCGCCAGTGGTGGGAGAGCTGAAGCTATTTTTCAATACAGGGAGCTGCCCCAGCTCATGTGTGCGCACCCAGGTACTACTGGGGCCGCCCTCCACCCAGCTGGCAGGGGAACCCACTGCAGTTCAAGAGCAAGAGAGGGAGACTTCCAGCTGCACCCACCTGGCAATGAGAGGGGAGGGAGCCATCCCTAGGAACGGAAGTGCCGCCTGTGGGACTCCCCTTCACACCCAGCACAACTGTGAAGTGAGTGGGGCTGCAGCTTGCAGGTATTTTGTGCACCTGGGAACTACAGATCTTACCAGAGAGGAAAAACCTTCATTCCCTACTGACATCAAACCTGACTGAGAGGACTGGACTCGATCCAGTGGGCTGGAACATACTCGGACAGGAGCTCAGAGAACACCTTAGTTTCCCTGCAGACAGGATGGGCTAGAAGGGTGGAGTGGCCCCACTGGCAC